TTAAGGTAAATGGGACAGTAAGAAGAAGAACAAATCTTTTTGGCAGAACTTCCGCAAATCTCAGCACAAACCCGTTGTACGACAGACGTCCAAAGGTTTGTGCGGCTCTATTGTACACATTAGGGTCACCGAATATTTGTTGCTTCGTGTTTTCCTTTTCGCTCATTGGTCTTTACCACAATCAGGAGAAGATATTGGCTACGTGGCCAGCGAGATCACCATGAGCGATGAGGAACGGATCCAGCTGATGATGATGGTGAAAGAGAAGATGATCACCGTAGAAGAAGCTCTGGCTCGGGTAGGAACCTCCCACATTGTCTCTTGCACTTTATCCCCTCCCTCATCGACCCTCATGCCCCAACGACTGATGGGCTGTAATCTTCTTTAAACCCTCCCTTTCTCCATACTCCCTCAGCAGCTCTGGCTTTCTAAAACGACTTACTCTTACTAACCAACCCCCTCCCTTTTTACCCTATATATATTCCCTATATATATATGTATATTTTTTTTTTTTTTTTTTTTGCGCCTGCATTGTCCTCTTTACACACACAGCACACACACATAACTCCAGACTTAATGGTGTCTCCAGAGGTTGAGGAGTCCAGGGATTTTGGGGTGAGAGCTCTTGGAGTGTGTGGGTGTGTTGTTCAGCTCATACTTGCGAGGTTGACGGTCATAGTAGCTCAATAGCCCCATCTGTTGGAGGGATTCTGTGGTGCATTGTGGTCTTTCTCTTTAGTTGGACATGGTGGAGGATATTCATTTGGCTGTCCTATCCATTTTTTCCCCCAATGCACTTTCATTTTGATCTGACTCTCAATCAATATCTGTTGATTGGTTTGTGACTTTTCTGTCGTCTCTTTTTTTTCCTTCATCTCCTCCCTTTCTGTCAGTTTCAATTTATGATGCTTTTCTCCTGGGTAGCATGCCGGGCCATCAGAGTTAGAAGACTGGATTGCTCTCCCAAAGGCAGATGTTAATTTTCCCTTTACATGTCTTTTTATTTTCTTCCAGGATGTTGATTTTAAATTGGAGGATTTTACCTGTCTTATGATTGACATTCTGTCCAACCAATCATAGAATCTGAAAAAGAAAAAAAAAATGGTGAAAGGATGCAGAGACCTGTTTAAAAATCAGTAACCTCGCTAATTTCCCTCATGGTCACCGACCTCAGCCGTCAGTTCACAACCTATAGTAGCCATTTTATCCTCGTGAATGCACACTGCTGATGTTTTCCAGTCTAGTATATAGTGAGACATAGCATGCTGGGTGAGAGTGGGTGGTCCCGCCCTGTTCCTCTGCCTCTCTGACCTCTTCTTCTCCACGTAGCTGAAGGAGTATGAGCGCAGCAGACAGTCCAGCAGTACTGACACTGCAGAGTGGGCTGACGGATCTGCACCCAATCTAAACCAGTCCTCAAACTGCAACGTAAGTACACCCTCACCCCTGCCCCTTCCTCCGTTACCCCAGCCTATCAAAGCCTTGATCTGTTCCCTTTTACTCTCCCTCTTCTTAACACTCTCACCTCAGCCACTCTCACTTTGAGTTTAAACTTTCACAGGAGAAGGATGGGATGTAGAACAGCGACATTGAGTTGATTATATATGTGAATGTATGTGTTTATCCAAATGTGAATGATTCAACTTTACTCTTGAATTTCCTTTTTTTTCTTCCTTTATATTTCTCTCTCTGTTCTGCATTCGATAGCCAAACTACAACATAACTGCCTCTGCATACGCATTCTCTCCACCATGTCAAGTGCATCCTAGTAGTATTGATGTTGCCTCTGAACATTTCAGTTCATTGCTCAACTCTGGTTTTCCTTAGGCTCTGCTCATTTTTTTTTTTTTTTTTTGCAGTCAGAACAAGAACTGTGCAATTCACTGAAAGTCCTCTTCCATATTTTAGTCATCAGTTTAATCCTCGCCTGGGCATCTCATTAGAAAATTGTCCCAAGAAACGTCATAATTGGCTGCTACAGTGACAGGGAAATTGTCTTGTGGAAATTTAGGGCAGGTCTGTTTACATCAGTTGGTTGTAATTGTAACTTTTGGAAAGCCAAGTGGAGAGGCACACAAAATCCTCCCCAAAACTTTTGCAGCATTCAGCATTGAGGATACTTGATGTTCGAAAGTCGGCTGCATAACGGCGGCTATGTGTTCAGAGGTAGGAGCGCCGACAATCACCTCTTTGTCGGCCGCTGTTTGGATTTTGATGACAATCAGTCGGTTCTTTTCTTTGCTTGTGTATTATTATGTGCTGCTACGTGTGTGTGTGTTTTGCTTGAGTGTTTTTTTAAATGGAGGTCAGCCTCGATGCAGAATCGAGACTTGCAGTGGTCAGGGCAGTTGTATGTGAACACGCAGATGATAAAGAATGTACTGTATGGCATCGCATGGGAATAGCATGGAATGTTTTATGCGTGACCCACTTTTTTTTTCTTTGCAGGAAGTAAATTTATACAAACACAAAAATTCCAAGCTCTCTGAAAATAACTCCCGCACACATGTATGTTGTTTTGAAAAGAAAATGGCATCAGTTCTTCACCAGAGTCTCAGTTACCTGTTCTGTTTCTCCCCTTTATCCACCTTTGTTCTGCAGACAAATACAGATTTCAGTCCAAGAAGAGTTTGAGTACCATAATCTCTTTCATTTCAGTGAATGAACATGCATCGGTGACTAATGCTCTAGACCTTTGCACATTCACCCCGTGTGACTCCTCAGCTTAAGTAACGATTGCATTCATATGGAAATCAGATCTGCATTGCCGTTTCTTTATATGACTGAATCAGTAACTTTATGAATGAAGACCCATGCCAAACAGTTTTCTCACACCATCAAGGGGCTCCATTATTTATTCTTCTGGGTAACGATTGATGATATCCATTCACATGGAAAAATAGGTCAATTATGCCATGCATAACTTGTATCTGTTATCTGGTTCTTTGATGTAGTGCAGTATGCTGATCAGCTTGTCAGTCTCCTAAAACTTTCTGTTGTTAGCGGCTCACTTCCTGTGGGAAGACGGCTGATCATTTGGGGGATTTTACAGACTTGAGAGAGGACGGAAGAGTTACAGTACTGAAGGATTATTGTGTAGCAGAACACACAGTTTGGCCCTTGGAGGCAAATGCTAGAAGCCGAGAGGAAACTAGGGAGACAGAGACTTAAGATAAAGACTCAGCCCCCAAGGCCAGGAAAGGGGGAGCTATGCATCTCCCTTTGCCCCATGTTCCAGAATTGGCCATTACAGGAAATATTTCTTCTCTGCTGGGGCCTCTATTGGTGTCACATACTGCCCTTTCTCCTCTCTAGTGAATAGAATTAGGTTAATTCCAAGATCAGTAGATTTGCTCGTCCGTGCATTCCTGTATGCTATATACGGACACAAATATACAGTTGATGGTTGTAGCTGAAATGTTTGCAATAAACCTTTTTTTGGTTGCTCTGTGACTTTTTTTTCCGTCCCGATGCTGTTTTTCTCTGGTCTTTTTTTGCCCCGGCAACGGAACCTGCATTCCAGGGCTGGCCATTAGCGATTTGGGGGCCAAGGCAGGGTCAGAGGGGCTCAAACGCTGGGATTGTTCTCCATGCACAACATGCCTTTTCTCTGCTAGCTATGAAGCACGACCCTTCCAAACAGTCCCTCATTCCTCTGAGCTAAACAGGCTGCGTTTGTGTCTGCCGGCATGTGCACAGGGGCACAGATATTATTTTGGATTGTGCATGCGAGGGAATGTGCTCAGGGCACTACGGATTTGATGATCCTGCTTGATTGAATTATGGAATATTAACAAAGGAAGTGCTACCCTGCTTTTTCCAATATAGTGGTAAGTTCTATTGGTTTTCTGAGCTCACTGTTAGATTTTCTTGTAAATGCTCTTTTTCTGTATTTGCAGAGACATTTTCGTGTGCCTGAAAAGGACGTTCAGTCGTAGCTTTTGTTTATAGATGTTTGTAAAGTCGCCGTTTGCATTTTTACTTTTCCCATGTTTTAAATGGCAGCCTTTTGGCCAGCTTGATTTATGTCCTCGTTTTGCTAGGCTTTCTTTCTGAGTTTGTCCCTATTCCGCTGTTTATGTGGTCATTCAAATGGATAGTGCCTCTTGGGAATGGGTTGGGATTTATGTCACTATCTCCTCTAAATCTTCTATTCATTAGAATTGAAGAAGAATCACATCATTCAACCCTGATGTTGCTAGGGCATTAGCGCTGCACATAGTTCTTAATATGATAAAATGACTTTTTTCCAAGTTTTTTAAACAAAGACTTGCTTTACATTGCATTTAATGAAACTAGTGCACTCAACCATCACCCAGGGTGAATGGCAAGTAGAAAAAGCTAACACAGCAGTCAGACCAACATGGTTAAGTTGTTGGAGGGACAGTCGAATTGGGTTTAGTAGCCTGTTTCTGCAGGTTTGTCATCCGCCAAACGAGTGGTCTGGTGTTCTGGGCAGACATGGCAGAAGACTACAGTTTCAAAAAAGGAAATATCCTGCACACTGCTCAAGCTCAGTATAAAAATGTATCGATGAAAATAATGTTTCGGACCCTTGGGGCCTTCCTTGTATTCGTGCAGAGGTGCAGGACAGTTGTTTTCCTGTGGGAGTTTCATTCAGTGATTTAATGTTAAATGCACAGTCTATCACAATATCCACATATATGAAAAATATGATCATGTGTGACATGCGTTATCAATTAATAAGAAGGGTTACATCAGACCTAAAACGTAGCTCTGAAAGCGATGATAAAGTGGAAAGCACGGACTTACACAATGACACTTTTAGGAATGATGTGTAGTTTTTCCCTTTTCACGTTGGCAACAGTTAAGGTTCGTAATACTTGCATACCTGCAGAAAATGAAAAGTCATCATGTTGTTGTGGCCTTGGTGTGGTATTGTCTGGGATTTGTGGTCACTGTCAAATGTTTGCTCAAACCGAGCCACAGTTGTTAACATCATCCTGACTATATGTCAACAGCGTCTGCGCCAAGCCTGTGGTCTGTTTTTAGGGTGGCGGAAAAGCCTTTTTTTTTTCTTTTTTTTCCTCTTTGCATAAAACTGCGTGTTAAAGTAAAGGCAGAAATGTGCATGCATATTATTCTTGTCAGATTTAGAAGCGTGTGCATGCTTTTCTAATCTCAAACACTGACAAAAAAAAAAGGTTAAAAAACTGACTACATTAGTACAACAAAAGCAAATGTTAATATTCTGTGTTTTGGGGACAAGAAAATTGTAAGTTTTCTTCCCACTTGACCACATGAGGGTTAATTTACTCAAAAAAGTGTGCATGGAAAATATGTGACTTTTTTTTTTTTTTTTTAAAGATATGGTTGTTTATGTGTAGGAAAAGATAAATACACTTTTGTCCTTTTGCAAAAGATGTTCCCATGAATGTGAGCTGGGAGCATGTTTCCATGAAAGTGACAACAAAAAGCTTTATCTGTTCTCGCAGCAGTCGAAACATCACCACTACGAAACAATGAAATCGCAGTGAAAGTAATGATGCTAATAAAGATGTAAAAAAATTATAACACTGAGAACAATATATAAAAAGTAAAATTAAATAGAAATTAGAGTAAAAAAAAGTCCTGTGTGTGTGTGTGTGTCTGTGTGTCGTTTAAATAGTGGTTTCCTCTGAAACAAAGTCTTTGAAGGCAACATAACTCTAGATAACCTTTTTTTTTTTTTTTTAAAAATACTGATTGATTACATCATTTGGTTGTGTCACTTCCTTCAGATCACATGCCACCTGGTTTGTTGTTTTAGTGCATTTCATGTCTCAACTGAATATGACCTTCACGCAATGCAGTGTGCCACCATCCCTCCAATCCTTCATCCCTCACCTCACTAACTTTGCCGCCATCCTAAACAGAGCTCCACAATCTGTCACGTTGTAAAAGATCTCTTAAAATCTCAAAGCATATTCATCCAAGTGTTTTACCTTCTCTGCCTAATCATTTTAAACCACCTGTTTCTGTTACAACTGCAACCATGAATTGTTATGCTGAACTGGAAAGAAATTTTCAGTGTTAGCCTTTATGTATTTATGTATTTCTTTATTTAGTTTTTGCTTTTTATTGACCCTAGCTACCTTTCCTCGTCTTCTTCTTTGTAATATCACTCTCTCACTCTCTCTCCACCAGTCTCGTGAACAGTCAGATGATGAGCAATCAGAGGACTCTGTGAAATTCAAAAGGCTTCACAAATTGGTTAACTCGACACGCCGGGTCAGGAAAAAACTCATCAAGGTGGAGGAGGGCAAGAAACATGCCTCCGAAGGTTTGTGATTCTGTCTGGCAGCAATATATTCATTTGATAACTTGATTATCTTTATGATTTAATACACACTCCAACCAGCTAAATAATGTTAATGTAATTGGATTTACATTAATTTCAATGAATAACTGCTGTAGGCGTTTTAATGTTTTTGGGGTTTCCCGATTCCCAGATTTTAAGAATGTACATTTTTTTTGATGGGTAGCTAACTCAGGCAGACTTTCCTGTCTAACCCTCCTGAGTAACAAACTTTCTAACTGACTTTTTGTGTTTCATTAGATTTTCTGAATCTGGAGACACCTCCCACCTGTGAGGACAACACCGCTCTGTACACTGGGGTTCTAAAGAAGCCCCCTTTACACCAGGAGGCGTCTCTGCCCTCACTCACCCATGACCAGCTTTCTCTGGATGGAGACACAGATGGCCTGACGACCTCCCCTTCCTCCAGCAGTTTGGACACCTGGTCTGGACACAAGCTGGTGAAAACGTTCAATAAGTCTTCTAGTACCCACGGTCTTATCCGGCCCCCCAGGAGGACCCCAGCGGGCTCCAGTGCCCTGGGAGGCTCTATTCCTGGTGTGACAGGTAGTGGCTCCTCCTTCTCAGAGCTCGATGGCTGTGGATTGGACGATGATGGAAAGCTGTCACGCTCCACAACTGATGGCGAGATGAGGAAGGCCCTGAACTCCATCTCCCATGGGGTAAGTAGCAACGAGGCCCTGTATGCTTTCTATGGCCTGACTAAACCTCGCCCCAAACCCCATTCCCAGTCCCGCCTTCTGATCTCCCTGGATGACGGTCCGCAAGGCAGCCCCAAACATCAACCTGCCAGCCGGCACCACGGCAGCTGGACGCACCGGAAACCTGATCCCAACTATGCATACTCCACCAAGCACCTCCTGTACCAGCGCTCGCGCAATGCTAAGTCCCCCATTTCTCCACTGTCAGTCACCCCATCCTCCCCCGTCCGCTGTGATGTATCCAAATCAAAGGTTTTTGGAAGTGGGGGAGGGGGCTGGGTGTTCCCCTCTCGCAGGCTGCGTGGGCGAACAGCAGTCAGTGAGCTCAACATCACCTATGTGGTAGAGCGGAGCCTGTACGGTCACCTCAACTGGGCACAGCTGGTCCGCCCGGTTACACTCAGCCGCGCTGAGCGGCGCTGTCTATTGGAGGAGGACCGTGAGGCGGACAGGAAGTGGGCGGCCAGCGTGGACCGCTGCACCAAGCGTGTGCTCTTGCGCATCCAGCAGAAGTCTGTGAGTTTAGGTCTACAGGTTTAAATCGGCCGCCTCGTGTGAGAAGGACTCAGTGTGCTTCAAAGTTGCAGAATAGCCCCGAGGTTTATAGGTGAATGTCGCACAAACATACACAAATAAGATAACAGGTCAGCTGTTACATACCCTATATTAAACGTACCCATTTAATATCGTGTGTGTGGAAACATGCAGGTATTGTACACGTTCTTTTATCTTGAAAACATCAAAAGCTGGCATATCAGTGACAGACCTAACTGCCCTTATAAGAATGCCATCTTCAGTGACCTTTAAGCGAATGCCTTTGCCTTCAAGCCTTTTTATTTCAGCTGAATATGAAATGATTATGGAAAGCGCAGTGCCCTACTTGGGAGGTTAAGTTACAGCAGAGGTTTTATAAGTGCCTTTTATAAATGTCAGATCCCTGAAGAACACATGCACTTACAGATCAGTAGTCGCACTGATCCCTGTGGGTGCAGGGGATGTTGTACAAGCTCGGAGCTGCTCATCCTCATAATAACTGCAGCACATAACATTCAAAGACGTATTGAATGGGTCGACTCGTTAGGTGAACTTCAGTGACATAATAGTCGCCATGCTTATTGTCTTGCACATTTATAAGGCTGTGAATAGCAACAAAATGATGGAAAGGTCAGAAAACCTTAATCATCATACAGTGATTGTAAAAAGCCAGTAATGACTTTTTTGACTTTAACCCAAATGAAAGTAGTCTGGTGGAATTTTAAATATTTTAGTTCTTTTTGGCAAACCTTCCCTATAGAGGTTTGTCATGTGAGGTTATGAGGTTATTTGCACGTTGATCGAAAGTTGTCCACCATATTGGACATGATACACCACCAGTTATTCCCCAACTGGTTGGAGAGTGGTTGCAGAGTTCCACAGTGTCACTAAGCTAAAATTGCTCGCAAAAAGGGTGCTGCATTTTACATAAGAAATGCCACCTTGTTTGCAAACACTTGCTAACTGCTAACCAAAGCAGCAGTAAAACTTACCACGAAAACCAGAAAAGTAAAAGTTCTGCCTTTGTGCTGCAGTCAGCTTGTTTCAGAAGATGCAATGGTTAATATGAAGGCAATCGGTCTTTGGTTTCCAGTTTGTGTCACAGTTTCACTGCCGTGCAACCTACAGGCGGAAATCAGCTAGTGACCAAAAAAAGGTTGTTGCCAACCAGATGGGGAATACTAATTTTTCCCTGACGACCGATGGTTACCAGATGGTTGTGGACTGGTCTCTAGGCTTGTGTGACTCGGGCCTTATTGTCTTGACTCTGCATTGTCACCATAACCCTGTCACATGTCGAAAATGGTGGACAATTTAAAGTCACGTTGCTAGTAGTCATGTGTCTCAATAATCTGTGTATACCAGCAGAAATAGTGACACATAGAGGTAAAGACGCAGTAGAGCTATCCTGCAGCTTTGAGGGTACCTGAATCCTATCGTGTTCTAGTGACGTCACTGGAGGTCGTTCTCATCCAAAAACTTTGAATCCACTTATTTCTGTTTTTGCTTTTCGTCTTCTTTTTTGGCCCGTGCCTCTATTGCAGATGTGATTTTTATTTTTCTTCTCTTTCTCTGTAATTATCTCCGAGAAACATCTTTTTTTTTTTTTTTTATCTGGGTGCATGTCCATTCCATTGAACACCACCATCACATTCAGGCTTATTTATGAGCATCTTTGCAACAGGTTATGTTTCCTGGAAAGCTGCGGCATTGATCGCAGCATTAAACGTAAAGTAGAAAGGCCATTTTCTTAATGTGCACCGCTCGCCCACTTGTTCAGGGTTGAGCTGAGCAGTTTTGTAATTGCTCAGAAAGCAAAAGGGAAATGCCATCACGTGCCCCACTTGAACTGTGAGCGTTGTTGGCAGATGCTTTGTGTGCATGTCCGTGTCTCCATCTTTGTGTTTAGAGTTTAACTTAGCAATTCAAATGAAAGAATTTATTTTTTCTTTACGTGTCAAAGTCCTCTGTTGTGTCTGCCTTTATTTAGTTTTTGATCTTGAGAAAAAAAATCCACATTTCTCTGTCCTCTCAGCAGAAACAGTTGGCTCTTTCTGAAAATGTTTCTGGCGAGACTAATATATTGTTGGCTCTATATGTTGTGCATGTTTGCTAACTATTGCCAACTGCATTGGGTTGAGATGCAAGGAATATATATATATCCACATGTAAAAGTAGCTTAGCCACATCAAGAAAAACTTAATGTTGTCCGAGCATATCAGGGACCTTTCGGAGCCGACAATATAACAGCTCATTTGACTGGGACCAAGCAATAACTCGCAATTTTAAAGAGGAGCTCGTATAAAAGTTTGTTACATCATGTCTGTTGGCTGTCTGCAGTCCCATATGACATCATGCCCTCGCATATATGCGAACCATACATCCATGCGCATTAATCAAACTGCTGCCGTGTTGTGCCGAGCATGAATCACTGTGAGTTGACTCGTTGGGTGTGGAAGGGGAAGTTCTGTAACGTGGCCTGGTGAGTGTGACTCATTTGATTGTGTTTTGGCTCTCCCTCAGAGAACATGCAGCTTTGGAGGCTTTGACCTGTCCAACCGTTCCCTCCATGTGGTCAACGCAGGCAACGAGGCCAATGTAAGTGGTAACATCTTGTAAAACAGAAGAGCACGAGCTAAACTCTCCTGCTACGCTTAATCGCGCTGATTTCCCTTTTGTTTTTGGGATCTCTCTTGGTCCTTGTCGTACCCTGTGCGATCTGTAACGTCTCATTCCCGTCTCCTCTCATCTGTCTTTCCGTCTTTTTCTGCTCTCGCTTTTCTATCTTGTGATCACAGAGTAAAGAGCAGGAGGCAATATACAGAGAAGTGGTCAAATCCCCCACTACGTCTCGGATTTCACTGGGCAAGAAAGTCAAGTCGGTGAAAGAGACGATGAGGAAGCGCATGTCGAAGAAGTACAGCAGCTCTCCTTCTGAGCAGGTTTGACATAAATATAACATGGATGCAGATGTGGATGCAGTTTCTGAATGCTTCATTTGTCCCTATCTTGGCCTTATTTTTCCTAGTATTTAAAATAAGGCTTTTGAAAAAGAGTCCTATTGTGTACACATCTAAAGGATGTTTGCAGAGTAAGCTGCTGCATATTCTGTCCATCAGCTGTGGCTGGGTTGGGAGTATTTATGTTGGTTACAAGATAAACAGAGAGGACTACGTCACATTCACATTTGGATTTCTCTCTCTGCTGTTCCCCTCCTGGACTAAGTGTCTTGGGTGGGGTGTTTGCTTCAAGTTGAGCTCAGGGAGTGATGCAAACCTCCCCCAGGCCAGCACTTAGGAGATGGAGAGTTAAAGTATGCGAGTCTAAAAGGATCGTCTCCTTTGCACTGACCTAATTTTTCTGGGCATCTACTCACTTTACCAGCGGCCTGTCCAGCTCCACAGTTTGATGTCACCTCATAGGACGTGTCATTAACATGCAGTCGGCCATCTGCTTGCCATGGTGGTCAAAGTGACCCAGATATCCTCACATGAGTCATGGAGATGCTAGTTGAGGAGGACTGAAGAAAGATGAATTGCTATGTCACAGTTTGTCAGCTATTTGATAAACCACAGTGCCACCTAGTGGATTTATGAGACACGAACAGCAAATGTTGACCTGTCACTATATAAAAATATATATCACTGCTCCAAAGTTTACCTTCATTTCTCCAAAAGTTGATTCTGTTCATCGGGACGTAGCGTCTCCCACAAAACGCTACGTCCAGATGAACAGAATCAACTTTTGGAGATTTACTTACCTGGATGATTGAGCATACATCAAGACGTTTACCTTCATTTAGAAATCCGTTTGATTTTCAAAGACATTTTAATCAAACTCATAAAGCCTGATGTTTGACCTGCACTAAGGTAAAGGAAGAACATAATACACTTTATCAAGTAACACAGTGTGACACTTGGGAGCATGGGAGTGATGCCAGCTGAAAATGGGTCTTCGTACATGTGCTCTTAAAAATCATAAATGACTAAAGCTAAGAACGAGCGGTTAATATTTACATCTTTCTAATCTGTTTTCTTTTAAAAAGAAACGGCACTAAACATTTGACCGACTGTCAATAAAAAGATGTCATGTTTTTATTGTTTTTAGACATTCAAAGCTTAGCTGAGAAGACCAATAATCAAAGGTTTTTCGTCTAGTTGTTACTAATGTGTTCCTCATTTGCTATTCTCATTATGTTTAATGATTTGATTATGGTGTGAATAAATTAATGGGTTCATACTGTTTTTGGTTTTTTTCCTCACGCACGCAAATGTTTAACCCCTAATCCTGCTAGCTGGTAAAAAATTTGATTAATGGCTTAAACAAAAAATGCTGACATCCCCTGTCATACCCTCACCTGCATTTTAACCAAGCTATGATTGTCTCCCTTACGTAATTTCCTTTTTTTTGGTTGTTATACGTCCACCTGCTGTTTATCACATGCTTTCGTCTCTTGAATGCAAAATCATTTGTGCCTTTCTCTTCCTTCGTTACACATCTGGATCTCTCCTTTCCATTTGTCTTTTAGTCCAGTCCAGATGCAGCCCCTGGTTCTCCACAATCCCCTCTGCCTGACACCGACTCTCTCGAGAAACCGAAGCTTAAGGCCGGAGGCTCTGTGGAAAGCCTGCGCAGTTCACTCAGCGGACAGAGTTCAATGAGTAAGACTTCTTTTAAAAGAACCTTTATTCAGACAAGGGTTTGACTGTGCAAACAGCTGCTTTCATATTTTTCCTACCAGATTCTGAATAAAAACTGTATTTAGGTTCTTTCAAATCAACAAATAATAAGGACAATTTATGCATTTGCATAGATTTAAACAAAACAAATAGTTGTTTTGAAGCAGCCACAACACTAGATGGTGCTTATAGCATTTGCTGCTGGCTCGTTCTTCTCTGCTTCAGTTATGATTTTTGTGGCATGATTATACCCAGACCTACCACCTGATCCTTGTGTTATGGCCTTGGAGTTTTCAATTTTTTTTTCTTTTAATCTCTTTAGCTATTTCATTTAATTACATTATTTGGAGTCTTCAACCTTGTGTTTTTTTGTGAAAAAAAAATACACTGCATCACTTCAAGCTGTGGCTGAAATGAAGACTTGGCCAAGTTTCAGTGAGCCACAGAGCAGACACACAGGCCAGCATATGGTAATGATTAGACAGGAAGTCTTAGCTCTCATATTCCCACACGTCGACATGATTTCAACACACTTCACTCAGAATCAGAGGGAATGTGCTGTTTTTCCCAATAGTTTGTTATACAAGTGATGAAAACCCAGTTTTAAAGTTTCAATCACTGTAAAAAAGTAAAGCTACCTGTTACCTATTGTCATGGTTATTGATGTAGAGTGTAATGGAAGGCCGGCACTTTTATTTCGAGAAGTTTAGTAATGGATTTATAGGCAACTATTTTGTAGCTTTTAGCTATTTTGCCTCTCTATGCTCAGGTGGTCAGACGGTGAGCACCACCGACTCATCAACCAGTAACAGAGAAAGCGTGAAGTCGGAGGACGGCGATGACGAGGAGCCTCCTTATAGAGGACCATTCTGTGGCCGTGCCAGAGTCCATACAGACTTCACTCCTAGCCCTTATGATACGGACTCCCTCAAACTGAAGGTATTATTGGACACTGACGGTAGTGTGCAAAAGTTTTGAGCCACCCTTCATATCTCTGTTTTTCTACTGTGGAGCCAGATTTTCTTTTCATTTTTTACAGTGGTCTTGAGCAATAGTTTTTTTTCACTCCTTTTGAGTCCAGTGTTAGTCTAGTTATTGTTGGTTGTTTTACAACTTAACACTGACTTATGGATCACCTGAGTATAAAAATGCTCCTAACTCAAGGCATGAACCAGTCTAACAACCTGTCACAATAACGCATAATGTGTTCCCATTTCTGTAGCGGACTCTCAGTAATAATAACAAAATAATATTTTTACCCAAACAAGCTGATTCTCAAAGAGTTATTATCTTGGCATAACCCGGCATGGTGTGCAGTGTTCCCCTGAAAAAATTGGAGGAAATTCCTCAAGCGGAGGACACAAGAAATGGCAGAACTAAATAAAATATCTAGCGCAGATGAACAGTATCTGAAAGTCGTTTCTTTAAGAAATAGGAAAAAATCCAGCAAAGACCTGGCACCGCACATCTGTAAGGTGCGACAATTTGCGACTGCATTTTAGCCGGCGGTGCTTGGCATCTCGTCTCAACTGATGGAATTATGCATGCGGAAAACTGCAGCCCTATTCTGACTTACCATCAGAAAAGCATCTGCTCTATTTTCAGCGTGAGAATGAGCACAAACAAAACACACAATGGATGGATGGCTCAAGACTTTTGCACAATACTGTATGCTGCCTTGTAACTCTGAAAGTTTTTCTACTATAATCTATTTACAGATGTAATAATAGGCTTTAAGCATATTCCTTGCCCTCACAGAGACATTGAATCCTCTATCAGCCAAAGCGGTTTGAAACCTCAGGTTCAAATTTAAAACGTCATGCTCAGCTAACTTATCTTTTCTCCAGCGTGGGGATGTGATTGACATCATCAGCAAGCCTCCAATGGGAACGTGGATGGGCCTGCTGAACAACAAAGTAGGCACCTTCAAGTTCATCTATGTGGATGTGCTGAGTGAAGAAGAGGAGAAGCCCAAAAGGCCAGTTCGGAGGAGGAGGAAGGGCCGGCCACCCAAACCCACTTCAGTGGAAGAGCTACTGGATCGTATCGATCTCAAGGTACACTACCAGCCACATTTTGCCATGTATTGAAAGTGAAGTGGCTTTAATGTAAAAAGCTACATTCGCTGGTTGCAATCAGTCAGCTGTCTTAACTGGATAATAAGCCCACCCATCTGGCACTTCGGTAAAAGCAAACAAATGCTTTGAAGCAAATGAAAATATTGTGTTAGGCAAATATCTCAAGCACATTTGCAGACAAGCGGAGATAAATATAGTATGTCTAATTACAGGCTGCACAGCTTTGGATGGTTGATTTGCCACTGACGCATAAACATTAACACCCACACTGTGACAGCCACACCCCGACAAATAGTTCGCATCTTTCATCAAAACCTACACATCACTGTGAGCGTGATATCATTTCCTCCCACCCGGGCAGCCAGCAGGCCTCACTTCCCCAAATAGAGAGAGAAGTTTTGTGTGTTGTCTCTTTCATCCCATTCCAATTTGGTGGCCAAGCCGCAGATTAAAGATTAATGCTACTAAGCTGTGAATATGGCTCTTATAAGTGCATCAGATTGCTCATGTCCTCCCAGATTTGTGCAGTGGGGAAAGGATGTTATACATCAGCGGTCCCCAACCCCCGGGCCTCGGACCGGTACCGGTCCGTGAGTCGTTTGGTACCGGGCCACAAGAGTTGAGGCTCAGGTGTGAAATGTATAGTTTTCAGGGTTTTTATCAGTTTTCAGCGTTATTTTGTTATCGTTTTTATCGTTTACTTGGTTTTCCTTGGTCTTTTCACGTGTGTTATGAATAAATTTTCTTTTTTTCGGTACCGGTACTAGTTTTATTTTGTTGTATTTATCCGCGACACCTTAAAGGCCGGTCCATGAAAATATTGTCGGGCATAAACCGGTCCGTGGCGCAAAAAAGGTTGGGGACCGCTGTTATACATGATATACAACCACAGTGCATTCATTTTTTCAGGTGGTTTAAGTGGCAAAGAAAACGTGAGAAATAACTTCAAGCTCAACATTTTTCTCGATCTCTCCTGTTAGCCTTCCATGTCATCTTGAGCCCAGTAGCTAGAAACCTAAAAAGTGAAAGTTGGTTAGTGAATAAGGAAAAAAGACAAAATAATCCATTATCTTCAGATCATTTTTGGCTACCTCAGTGGCAGACAGTTTTATACTAGAATGTAAATCAACTGTAGTGAATGCCTCAGTAATCTTTTATAGTTCCAGCCTTTCTCAAGTTTTCCTCCGTTGCAGTATCCATCCCAGCAGGATAAGCTATCTAAGCACTAAATATTCTAAAATTGAGCTGTCACAGGCCAAAGTAGTAGTATTACTTTGTGTTTTTGGAACTTCTAGGCCAACATTTGGTTACACTGGAAAATCAGATTTCAACAGGGCCTCTCTGTAACTGAAGTGTAAATCTCCTCACCCCTGTTGTTTTCCACCAGTGGACTCTGCCAAATAGTCTTCGGATGTGGAGCGTGTTTACATATTTCAGCTGGCACAAAAACACGAAAAAAATTGGTGAATGAGAGGAGCCAGCTGCCTGTGTTTGTGTTAGTTGGTGGTCCTTTGTTTAGTCCCGCATCATCCAGCAGAAACGGGACAGACCAACCTAGTTCTCTGCCCTGGACTCCAGCGCTGTAATTGATGGTCTTGCTCATGACACACGGTCTCAATATTTGTCCAACAAAAACGTGTGGGTCGCACAGGCGTGGAACCGAGCGATATTCAAAGTGGAAGCGGTCGCTGTGTTGCTGTCAGTGTCGCTCACACGGGGTGTATCCCAAAATAAAATCAAAAAAACTTTCATTGTGTCACTTCAGATAACACAGTGGTTTGAGTGACTTGCTTTAGTGTGTGTTTGTGTTGGTGGGTAATACATTGACATCTGTGGTTGAGAAGTATTTTGATGAAACTCTTTGAACCTTCACTTGTTCCCACATGTGTTGGTTTCCTTTTCAAAATCTTGCTTGCCATTTTGGTCACAGCCAGCTGTGGCCATGTTCTCCAAGATGGTGATGCTAGCTCGCTAATACTACTGCTACAACTGTTTGGGTTTTTTTTTTTGGTTTCATATATCTGTCACCACTGCAAATGTTGCGCTACATTAAAATGTGTCGACAGATTAGCAGCCATAACAGAATTAGCTGTGGCGTAATGTGATTACATGGCACCAAAAGTATCAAAATAACAGTTCAGATGTTGCCCTGCAGTTTAAAAATGGAGACAGGAAATTATGAGCAGATGAAAAGTATCTGTTGTACAAAAGTTCTTCTTTTTTTGTTTTAGTTTTTTTTAACCTGGTGAATTTTATGCTTCTGCTCCTGGTCGTGTGACTCGGATCAGTGTATTTTTCTTTAGTCTGCTGCATTTATTTTATTTGGTCTTTAAACAGCCTCGGGCTTAGCTTGTTGCTTTCTCTTGAATAGGATTACATGCCCACTTTCTTGTTCAATGGCTACGAGGACCTGGACACGTTCAAGTTGCTGGAAGAAGAGGACTTGGATGAACTGAACATCAGCGATCCTCAGCACAGAGCTGTACTGCTCACTGCAGTGGAGCTGCTGCAGGAGTATGACAGTAAGCAGACCGTTTAGACTGTTTCCATGAGTTTATGTTTTTGATTGTGGTTTTTTATACGAGGACATCTTCATGTAACCTCAAAATATTGTTGTGTGCCAGAGTTTTTAGGATAACAGTGAAGGAAACCTGACAAACTGAAATATAAATTTAGATTCATGCAGCAGCAGATTACAGGAGCCAAACAGGGAAAGGGAAATCTGAAGGAAGTGACTAAAAAGTGGTCCCTCGTTTATCGCGGGAGTTACGTTCTAAAAATAAGCTGCGATAGGTGAAATAGATGTTTTAAGGCTGTAAAACCCCTCACTACACACTTTATACATTTTTCTCAGACATACATGAACATTTTCTCATTTTTCTCTCTTGCTTAAACACTCTGAAAGTTCAAACCTTCGTAGAAAAATAAGTCCAGTGTTATAGAATGAAACCAAAACATTTCGTCGACATTGTTGTGTTTGTTGGGGAGAAAACTTACATACAACATACACTACAGCACTTCAGAGTCACACTGCTAGCGATTGAAGACTTATGTAAAGTTGACAAGCTGAACGCATTCTGTACTGTACAGGAGACACGGCACGAGATTGATTGACAATGGTCTACAGCCAATTAGGACACAGAACATAATACGCTGTTAAAAAAAAAAAAGGCATTCAAAATTGCACAAAAAAAATCAGCAAAACAGTGAAAGGTGAACCGCGTTATAGCGAGGGACCACTGTATGTATTATGAGGAAATAATACTTTAAAGTACAAGGAAATCATTTGCCTTTCTGTGACTTTCTGTGAGCAGGTAGCAGCGATCCAGAGCGCAGTGGAATGTCAGGTTCCCAGGAAAAGCTGCTGCTGGAGGGTCGGAGCATAGTGGGAGACTCCCCACGGGATTCTGGGTGCTACGAGAGCAATGAGAACCTGGAGAATGGTAACGCTTGCTTTACTTAGTTTATGCCACCATTACCCAAAGCCCACTGGGTATTAGGCTAACTAAGGCCTATTCTTGTTCTACCCTAGTCCTAGTACCACAGTGACTCCTTTGCCCTTTTCCTGTCTGGACCTTCACCTCTCTCCATCACTTGTATTGCACTGCATCTTAACACCCTGACCATGTCACTCCTTTGAATTAGCATCTTCCTAAAAGCTCATCTTTCCATCTGCCTTACCTTCCCCCAATCTTTACAAAGCCCTTATTCACTTCAGACACTTTTACTGTGCTTGCACTCTACTTTCTTCACCACTCTTTTCATCTTATAGGCATTCTTTATCATCAGTGCCAAAGTCCAGTTGTAACTGAGAAGGAGCCAAGCCCCAGACCACTAAGCCTAGTCCACCCCACAATACTGGGAACACAGAGGGGGACGCGCTCCCCAATGCACAAAACCGTTCTGAAGAGAACAAAATCACTGCCCACTCATGGACTCTGCTTCCCAACTGTCTCACCTGTGGGCGCAAGGCCTGTAGGTGGATACGAGGAAGACGATTGTGAGCTCAGAGAATATTTCTGTTGAGTGTTTCTAATCCAGATATAAACTTGCAGAGTAGTTTGCCAGTGCACGCTTGAGCTTTCTTGCAGTGCTGATTCTCTCAGCCGATTGAAATTTAGACAAATTTAACGGTCAGATGTCAGATCACAGCTGGCAGCTCATCTCATCATCACCGATTCATTGTTTTATTTGTTCTGTTTATAGCGACCATATTGCACAGTCATATACAGTATGTGCCTAAAATGATGCGGATGAAAACATTTTCAAACTATAGTGCAGTTTTGTTGTTTTTCTTAGAGGTTTGGGGTCTTATTTTTCCAATCGATTGTGTACTTGTTGAGACTGGTCTCTGCAAAAGACTGTATTCTTCCTCCACACGTAGGATAATTTTAACAGCTCAAACACTCACCGATTACTGCTTTTTTTTCTGTATCTGTATGGCCCCAGTGTAACTACTGGTTTCCCTTTTATGTACATATATGTTGTTAAGGCTGAAGAGCAAAGCAAAGCTTAAATCTCTACTCTTGCAGTCTGCAAGAGTAGAGATTTAAGCTGTGGAATAAAACCACTTCTCTGATTAAAAAAGGACTCTGGTGCTGCTTGTTTGATTTCTGTTTCGCCTTTTTTGTCTGTTTTTTCCTTTCATGCCTCTAAACGCTGTTCACAAACTAGCTCCTTAACAATTAGTAAACACTCTGCATTTCTTCTTGTACTTTCAGGGCTCCACAGCTGTTCTCTCTGTACAAATCAGTAAGGAAAAAAGTAGTCATTTTGTATTATTAGTATTGTGTAATCTAATGCAATTATTATTATTAATTTAAGACTTAGACCTGATACTAGATTTTCACATTTTCTCATGCAACATGCAATACTGTGCTAAAGTTTTGAGCCACACGCTTGTTTTTTGTTTTAAATATTTTGCCAGGAAATGGATGCTGTGATTTATAGAAATATGTGCAAACATATGTGGAAATACAGTTTTTGCCTTATATAATTCTAAAAAGCTTTAAAGTGAATTTGATATGGCTGCTTTTATTCTTCAACACAGCCTGAACTCTCTTAGACAAGCTGTTCCTGTCATTATTGTCAGTCTTCAATAGTTCTCCAGCCTTCTTGAAGGACATTAAAAGCTCTTCTTTGGATGTTCGCTGCCTTTTGTTCCAGTCTTGTTAAGATCATCCCATTACTGCTTCAGTAATGTTAAGGTCTGGGCTCTGGGGATGCCAATCCATGATTGATAGCATTTCATTGGGTGTGTTTGCAGTCACTGAAATGCTGAAAAATGAAAAATGCTTTTAACCATTCATAGTTCCATCATTTTTGACAAGATCCCCGATGCATCTCTTAGTTCCTGTGTCAGGTCTTTGCTGGATATCTTAAG